GATAAGAATGTTGTCTTCCTGATGCAGGGAGGGCCCCGTTGTTAGGGGGAATGTATGGATCTGCTTTTAGGTGGAAGCAGGAGAGCAGAGAACTTTTCCTGCATCTGGTGACTCTCCAGGGCCTTTAGCTCATAATAGTCAATATGCCAAAGTGGTATGTTTGGGGGAGCATGCTCTGAACCCCTTCAATAACAGTGTCCCGATTTCATGCCTTGACGACCGAATTTAACCTCCCCACATTTCAGCTTGCAAGGAAACTGAGATGTACTAAAGGCAGTAAAGTAATTGTGGGAAGAAGACCTTCTAGGCACATTTTTCCTTTAAATGATCAATCCAGACTCAGCGTGGCCCCGTGGACCCTCTTCTCATAACGGAGACCGTCCTCCGGGAGTACATGGAGCTCATGTTAATTTGCAATTCAGATTCCCCTGCACTCCTGCCGCTTACCAGCACTTCCTCCAGAGCATATATATGTAGTCTGTACCTGCTGACAAAACCTATGTGTTAGAGTCCGAAGTCCCTATGGCACCAACTGCTTATTAGTGAGAAAAAAATCCAAAATAAAACACGGTCCAATCATTTACTTTAACAAAAGATTTATTTGAAACAGGTTTGTGCAGACATACACCAGTCAACAGGATTGATCAAAGCCACAAATCACTACATTTTCCAAAACCTCTAAAAATACAAGTAAATGCCCTTCATTTGTATTCACTCCAGGAGGGAACCCAGCTCCGCTATAATGTGCTGCTATAATTTAACAACCAGAGGACATTAATAGGATGTGAAAATGGTAACACTTCTAGAGGGAGGGAACAAAACCCCCACGCTCCACAGAAGAGCTCACCGCTCTGCTGGGAGCCAATTAGACGTGCCCCCACAGCTCCACTCCTCTCTGCATAACCAGATTAAAACCTCCCCGTCACAAACAATATTTAAGCAATCTGAGCACAGATGTGACAGCAGACAGGAGAGCACATGGCTTCAGTTGCATGAGAAAACACCACAAAGATGTTGCCTTCAAACAGGGACCCAGTGACCTGCAGGAAGGGGGATCCACGGAGGCCGCCGCATACCCCTGCAGCTGGCCTGTGGGCACCACCCCTGCAGCTGGCCTGGCTGCAGCTGCTGGCATTGCCCTTCAGAGGGAAGTTTGAAGGCAGGCAGCACAGCACACCCCTGAGTTCAGCAATCACTGGCAGCATGGGAGAGTGTCAACCCTTGCATTGATTTTATTAATGAAAAATCAGAACTGTGTTTCCTTGCCCAGCGATCTATCTGGAAGGAGGAAGGCTCTATGACAGGGCACACTTCCCTTTGCAGTTTTTGTATTGGTGTTTATTGATCCACCTGCATGCCAAGCTACCTCAGGGAACCCAACTGAATCCGATCCCAGGGGAAGTGGGTTCACGTCCTGATCTTTGGGCTCTCTCCGTTCTGGCCCTTTCCTTCCACACTGGAGAGCTTGCCCATAAAAGGCTCTTGATAAGCTCTCTTGACCCCTGAGTTTCCTGGGCAGCACTATTTGGATAGTGCTATTACTTCAACTTTCTTCTTCCTATTTCTGTCATAAATCAAAGCTACCTGACAGTTTGTTCCTGACTTTTAAAACGAACAGGACTCCTTTCTTTCTTTAGCCAGGACAGAAGAAATGCCGATGGACTAATCTTGTGTGTTTTTCTTGGTCTGGTGCCTGGGAGAAAGCAGAGTAGATATCTCTAAGGCAACCAGGGCAAGAGATTGTCATTGGAAAATGAGGCAGCCTGGGTGTGAAAAGAATCATTCTTTTGTGTCCCCTAAGTCAGGGGAGCAGAGGTGTTTGTCAGACTTAGCAGCTATGCATCAGGCTGGGGGTAAGGTAAGGGGTGAACGTGCCCCTCCTTTTTGCTTCCATTTTTTTGTAGCTTCTGGCCACTTCAATTTATGTTGGTTCAGCAGCCTTTCCTTCCCACTGAACACTGCACCCCGATTCACAACGCACCCAACCCAAAATATGAAGAGAGACTTTCGAACAGAGTACCAGTATGAGCTTTGGCATTAGATGAAGCTGCTGTGATGGAGAATGGAAATGTGTACTGTGGAACAATTTGGGGTGCTGAGAAAAGAATGCATGAAGAGTACAAACATCAGGTTGAGTATTACAGGTCTATTCCTTTTGAGAATACTTATAAACATATCATTATGGGGGGGGGTCTACGACCCATGGAAACCCTTCTAATGGTTCTTCTTGCCCTTCAGGATGGACAAATGGCTGGAATGAGGCTCAGTATCCTCCCTCAAGGCGACCCTGAGACAAACACAGCGCTCAGCAACAAAGCCAGTGGATGTTGCTTCCGCCTTGCATGGGGCTGTATGCTCACTATCTCCATCACTACTGTATTGGCCAATTTAATCATTTGCATAAAGAAAGTATTGAGTGAATAGGAGGGGGGATGCCACCTTTTGACTTGACCCGATAAACATATTTCTTTGCAAATTATTACTTCAGGCTCTGCTTAACTATAGCCACAGTTTCCCTATTCACATTTTTTTATGGTTCCCAGGAGATGAGAGCTACATTTCAAATGCTGAGGCTAAATCACTCCTTGAATTACGTTGGGACAATGACCCTGGGCAGTAATTCAAACCCTGGCTGAAATGTGTGCCATTTTTTCACATGTTCAAAACCAAAGACAACGTTCTATTGCAAACATTCTATTCAACTTATGGTCTAAGACATAAATCCCCAGGAACAAGAATCTGATAGGAAGTTCTCTTCCTATGCTTCAAAAAAATAAGATAAAGGGTCATTGTTATAACAAATGGAGATTATAGACCATAGCTTTATTTTTTTAAATGCAACCTTAAAGTCTGTAATATATACATCCATATGCATTTTCAGATGTTAGTTACCTACACTCACTTTTTTTTTCATTATTCACTGCTTCTTGACAAGTTATTACTGATTTTCACTGCCAGCTCCCTACAGCAAGACCTGAAGCCTTCTCAAGGAAAAGGAAATGTCAACAGAGTTCTCAGCCTTGCTCTGCTGAAACCCAGGCTCCTGTTTTAGGATATTACTCCACGAGTGTTAAAGAAACAGCACCTCCTTTAGCCAAACACAGGTCCTGTGTGTTGTACTGATCCAGAAAAGGGCCACACACGTGTGCACCTGTGTGGGAGATGAGAGAAGGTACCGCTGGTCAAGAAGCCTGGAATATTCTGCCTAGAGACAGGATAGACACATCAGCTACATCTCCCAATTATTCCAAAGCCCATTCTGATCAGTAATGAAGTACTAATCCCAACAATCAAGTAGAAATGGTTGGTTTATTCTGCTCTCTCCTCCTCCCCTTTCAACGTGCAGTTTGCACAGCCGCCCTTGCCTGCCCATGCCGGTGGAGAGCTGAATCCAGAGCCTAGTACTCCGAACTGTTGGTCTCCCTCTGCAGAGTCAGCAGAATGGGACATGGGCTCAAACAAGAGTCGGCAGTCTGTCCGTGCAACACTAGACTAAGGCTGAGCCTGCGTGGGTTCTGCCCCTTTAGCCCAATCCAGAGACAGGCCCTGTGTGCTGACCGAGTGTGACCTGCCAGCCTGCATGTCACTTACCGTGTGGCAGAGTGACAAGTCCCATGTGGCATTTCCACTGAGCTGACAGCCAGTGTATGCAACTTAGTCCAGTCCTCCCTGCTCCCTGGGGAGGAGTTGTGTGTGACACTTTGACCTCAATTTAAAGATAGGACAAATGACACAGCCCCTGAGTCGCCCTGTCTAAATATTCTACATCACACATAGTGACAGCTGCTCCTCCTAGAAACCCAATTTAGTCATCTGGCTACAAGATAGCTTAATTGCATAAGAGAATAAATAGAAAGGCATCACATCTACTGTATTCTGTGAGCATGTTTCATTATTGCAAAGACTATTTGTCTACTTCTCAAGAAAATTAGAAGATATACTTAAATCTCAGAAAATTTGAACTATATTTAATGTAAAAAATAAAATAAAAACCAAAAAACCCCAAACACCACACACGCACATTCTAATTCACAAATCTGATTCAGAAGGTTTTCAGTTCAAGAGAGAGCTAAGTGTTTGACAAAGAATTGAGTTTGAGTTGCCTCTTTCCAAACAGACTTAGTTCTAAATGAAACCAAATAGTCAGGATGCCTAATGCACATTCATTTCTCACTTTCATTTTTCCTCTGTATTGAGACCATCATCTTTTTGGGTGTGCAACAAAGACATACTAGTACACCTTGGTTTGTGTTAATTGTTAGACTCCCCTGCCCTCTGTGATGACAGTTCTTCAATGATTCACTTTGCTGGGTGCTATAGTATTTAAATGTTTCATCACCTTGGGGAGGAAGAAGTGGCAATTTTCTGAGCCTCACCTGTTAATTGCACTGCCTTGCTTCCCCTCAAGCCCTGGACCCTGGTCACCTCTTAAGTGAGGGATTCGTTTTCTTAGTTGATGCAAATCATAATTATTTCAATGCCCAATAAGATGTAGATGTTCTAAAAATAAAGGGTTAGGAAGCAAAGTGCACTATTGTTTTATTTCCTAATCTAGCACAGCCATTCCCAGAGGAACTGTGTCATTGCAGCCAGTAACAGCTGCCCAGAATTATTTACGTTAAGCTATCCAGAAATCTGGTTTGGCAACCAAAGCAGAGAGGAGAGAACGTGCCTCCAGGCTGGTCGTTTATTAAGGGCTCCAGGTGCTCACATGACCGCCTGAAGGCATCCAGGTTCTGTCCAAATTTAGAACAAGGGACTCTGCAGTTTGGAAAGTCAATGACTTCCCTTCCTCTTCTTAGACTCAGGGTACTTCCTACTGTGAGCGGTGCCTGTATCTAACACTGACTGAATAAGGAAGGAAACCTTGTCGATATAAAAAAGGCTGTGGAAATGTTTGGAATTCTTTTCAATTAAAACTGCCTGTCAACATCGTGTTTAACCTCCTGGACATATTAGGCTGATCAGGACATTTGTCTGGGCTTCGGGGCTTGATTTCAGAGTTTCCACTCTGACTTGGTGGAAAGTGTCCTCTATGCCCGCCTCCCTCTGTCCTTGCTTTTTGCTTTCTCCTTCCATGGTCATCCTCCTTCCCACACTCAGGGACCCCCTCTCTCTCAGCTGGGTTTGCATATTCTCTCTGGTTCCAGAGCGACAGAGTGATAAGTATGTTCCTTCACTGGGGAGACATGCTCTAAATTCATTCATTTTCCAACAGTGAAAATCCAAAATGTGCTCTCAGCTCCTAAGAAGACAAGCATGGGGTCTTAGTTAAGAGGATGCTAGAAGTCCAGTGGTCTGAAGGCTGGGAAGTGCGTACTGGGAGCCTGGCTAGCAGGGTCCCCACCAGCGCCCTGACCCGCAGGCTTCCCTGTCACCACAAAGAGGCAGGTAAACTGTAGAACATCTGCAGAAGAGCTGCTTCTTCCCTTTAGTTATAGAAGGAAAAGGGCGGCGGAAGAAGGGACTTCTTGCATCTGTATCTGTATCTGCTGTAGAGAAAGGACGGATGCGGACTCGGCTTGTTGCCCACCAGTGGCCATGCACTGAGCACAGCGGCCAGCCATGCAGAAGGTGTGAGGACGAGGGATCTGGGTGGCACTGGGTGGACTGGGCCAACCCCTTGGGAAGGGTGCAGAAGATGGTGTTGGAACACAGATGGTTTGCCCCACTGGGAATGTGGCTGAGTTTCACATCAACATTCTCAGGTTACAACATACATATATATAATAGGAAACCATATATTTGTGATTTCATTGTAATCAAGAAATTTATGCCAACTTCATACAAACATAATAGGAATCAAAGCAAGACAGCAACCTGCCTAAAGTGGTCTCATTGCTGTCTGTGGACTTTGTCTGTGAGGTAAAAGGACAGGAAGCAAGTGTGTCCGGGCTCCCTGCCACGGGACAGGCTTCTCACGCAACATAAAACTCTTTTATCTCCGCTCCCAGAACAACCAGTACTGATGTTTAAATATCGATGAAACATAATGTTTTTAATTTCACACCTCACAGAGCACAGCTGAATGCTTCATAACAACGTAAACAAAAGTTAGGCCAAGCACTGCAGACAAGTTGGGAGGAAAGAATGGCTTCCCCCGCGGTATATACTCCAGGTTTGCGAGGGAACATATAACTAACAAACCGGTTGGCTAAGGCCACAGAAATGTGTTTTCTCATATTTTGGCTGCTGACACCAGTCTCTTCTGACAAAGATGTGTTAACACTGGGTACAAAAACTGCATTTCTTCCCCAGGATCAATCAGGAAAACTCGACTCGTAGTTCCTCCTCACTTTCCCGTCTTATTTCCGCTTCGATTTCTTTTTGGTGGTGTCATAAGCACGAACAACTTCTTCCTGAGAAACAGCTCCATGCTCTTCTTGAGAGAAGGCGTACCCATCTGAAAGAAGCGCACAGGAGGGAGTGGGTAAAGGCAGAACTGGGGGAGCGCACGAGGTTTGGAAGAAGCTGCTTTTGAGGAGACTACAGCTGAGCTGGTGGGAGTCTGAGACGGGGAGCCTGTGACCCAGAAGGGGAGCATGGGCAGTGTGGGTGTGTGGTGGCAGGATGCAGCCTGGTGGGCTGGGTCCAAGGGGTTCTGGCTGCTGACACTGGGATGGGAATGGCTCTGAGGGGCGGCCTCCCATTTAGGAGTTGCAGTTGAGCTCAGCCTGGGAAGCATAAACAGTGGGTCACTGGTCCATGTCTGCACTTTCCCACCACCAATCAAGTTGTTCTGCTCCGGAAATGTCCCAATGCGCCTGAAGCTGCAGGCTGGCCAGGTAATTTATGAAGCTGTAACATGCTGGGGAAAACATGCACCAGCTCACAGTGAAAGCTGGTAAAGGGCACATGACGTTCGGAACGGTCCTGTTTCTAAATTGGGCTGATTTGGGCTGGTAATAAGAGATTACAGTGGGTAACACATCTTATTTTTGTGTAAAGAAAAAGATCACAAGATAAAGGCAAGAGGAATTTAGTGATCGGCCCTGTGGCCACAGAAAAACTGGTTCTTACAATCAGCTCTAGTAATAATAATAGAAATAATAATAATAATCCTATATAATAAAAGCCTAATATGCAAATCGACCGACTGGCAGAACAACTGGTTGGCAGGGGGCAGGGCTGGCAAGCGGGCGGCACCAGGCCAGCCAAGATGGGTGCCAGTGGGCAGAGGGAGGTGACGGTGATCAGGGGGCGGCGGTGACCAGCAGTGGCGAAGGGACAATTGGGGGAGTGGGGCCAGCTGCTTGCTGGCTGCTCACTGGCCTGGCGCTGTCCCCTGATCGCCCCACAGGTTGCCTCCTGCAGAGGCAGGAGTGGGCCTAAGCTGTCAGTCGAACATCCCCTAAGGGCTCCTGGTCTGCAAGAGGGTGCAGGCTGGGCTGAGGGACCTCCCCCACCCCCATGCATGAATTTTCATGCACTGGGCCTCTAGTAATAGTAATAATAGCAGCAGCAGCCAACAATTATTAAACACTGTGTGTACCAGGCACTGTCCTATGTACTGTGCACAAATGACTCATCTATTCCTCTCAACAGCCCTATGAGATAGATGCTAGTGTCTTCCCATTTCACAGATGAGAAAACGGAGGCATGGATTGATTTCATGATCTGCCCAAGATCACAGAACTAGTGAGTGGCAGTTTGGAGCCAGACCCAGGCAGTGTTTCTGCAGGGCCCACACTTTCCTGCATCACCAGTTCTTAAAAAGGTTTAGCAATAGTGTGCTTTCCTTCTTAATTGGTTCTGCCCACAGATGGGACATTTATAAGATGCCCTCTCTGTTGGCTAACCCTTCTGGCTCAGGTGTGCAGAAAAGTCCCACAGCTGGATGAGACATTCTGACCAAGACAACATAGTAAAAGCCTAACAAAGGTGACTCCCACCCACGCCTGTTTATGACTGATCAATAGAGCTGTTAGTTAATCATCATAGTCTTTAAAGGAGAAAAAGAAATCAGAAATTCTCCCGGATTATAATTATTCTGCTCAGACATCTGCTTAAAAAGGAGAGTTTCTGGAGTATAAAGACATATAAAAACAATGTGTAAGAGAGTCTTTGAGGGGATGGAGAAGAAGAGACTTCAAAAGATTCTCAGGTGACTTCCTACTCTGTGTATGCCCACAGACTCGGAGCTCTGTCCCTGGGCTGGCTTCCCAGTTCTTCTGGACAGCCTGCCTTTCAGCACCACCTGAGAAAGCCCAAGGGCAGGAGGGCCACCCTGGGAGGCCAGGGCTGGTCTCCAGAGGTGGGCTTGGGGCCTTCTGAGGACATGGCTGGGCAGCAGGGAGCGGGTGGGTGTGAAAGCAGAACAAGCAAGCAAGCCTGACCCAGAACAGAGAGCAGTGTTCCACCGGGGACTCTTGTCTACTCCCTCACCTCCATCTCTAACAAAATCAAACCCACAAACCCAATCCCACTCTGTGTGGGAGCCAGAGGAAGCAGCCACCCCCTAGGCCAGTGTGAGCACAACCTAGCTGGGTACTGAGCAGGCATGTCACATGTCTGGAGCAGAAACACAGAAGCAAGCCTGGAGAGGGGCTGCTGGCTTGTTTGGGCTCTTCTCCTGACCCCTCCCCCTTCCCTCCCTCCCTCTTCCTCCTGATGCTGGGCTGCCAGCCTGTCCCAGGACAAGTGCTCTTTGTGCAGCGTCTTCATTGCAGTCCTAGAAGAGACACCTTTCCTAGGGATGCTTCAAAGAAAAATCTAGCAAATAACACTGTGTCCTCCTGTAACAAGACTGTGTCCTGTGGTCCACTGGGACACTTCCTTCTGCAGTCTTTGAAAGGCAATGTTTCTAGTAAACACACGATGTTTCCGGGAGGGGACCCACAGCAGCTGTCTTTGGATCCAGTGTGCTGCCGGAACGACAGTCCTGCTAGGGCTCTGTGCTCCCCAGGTGGATGCTTCTCACCCTGACAGAAGTGGCTCTGGTCCCAAGTAATGGGAAGGCCTGGGGAGTGCTCTTCGTGAACCTGCCTGGGGCAGGCTGGGCTACTGCGTTCTCCGCCCTGCAGATGGCTTTCCCAATCTGCTCGGCTTTCAGCATGGATTTGGACCCAGGGCTCAGGCCCTGGGGGCCAGGGGGCTGGTTCTAATCCCTGCCTGGCAGTAGCTTGGTCACAGGACTGTGGTCTCTTTAAGCTTTCTGGGTCTCCTTGGTTTAGTTTCCTGTAAAACAAATGGCCTGGACCAGGTGAGGTCCAGGTCCTCACAGCTCTTGCCCTGGCTGGCTGGCCCCAGGCCACCGAGCACTCCACCTTCATGCCAGGAAAGGGCGCCTGTCTCAACAATCAGTCCAAATGGAACAACTGCCGCCTCTCTTTTTGGATGTGTGTTTTGGGGGGAGAGGGGCAGAGGGGAAGGAATAAAAGGAACTTGTTGAGACATTGTTTGGGAATGTCCCTTTGGGAAAGGCATCTTAGCATTTGGAATTGTCCACTCCCTATTAACCGGAAGGAGCAAAAATCTGGCCTTTCATTTGCTCTGTTTTTCATTCATACCCTGCCTGTGCCTACTGGGAAGCCAACCGCGGTGCTTTTTTCTGCTTGTAGCTCGATGGTGCCCTTGCTTCTATCTGCCTCACTGGCATGAGGTCCTTGCAGTGGGATTACTCCTCACTCAGTTTCCAGCAAAAGAGATGGCAGAGAGGGGCTCCTGGTCCAATAGCAAATCTCTTTTCTTGGGGTGAGCAGAGCACCCCGAGGTCACTACCTCACTACCAAGTGGTTTCTCTGCCAGTTCCTATTAGTTGCATCTACCATCATGTTTCCAAAATGTTGTGCACTAAGACTTTCTGAACCAGACTTTCTTAATCTCAACTGAGACTTAAGGTAGACTTTGCAATTCAAAACTAAAAGGAGGATGGCCCAATAGGATTACCCTGGGGTGGAGATAAACTACTTCCCTCTCAGAAACCAGGTCTGGTTGTAGTTAGAGTCACACTGGAAGAAGTTTCAGTGGGACAATGGCATTTGTGAGCCCAAAGTGGGGCTGCACCCCTCAGCTGACAAAGACACATCAGTTCACCAGCTCTGCCTGACAAGCATTAACCTGCCCCTGGCATCCAAACAGGAAGCTCAGAGGGAGCCCCCGGCTCTTAGCATTTCCCACTTTCATTCATCTTTCAGGGAGTCCTGACAGCCAGAAAGTACTGCTGGGGCCTGGAGAACGCGCCAAGTGGTCCAGCTCTGAACTCTCCCTGGCTGGCCTCCTAGAGCATCTGCCTCCACAGCCAGAGTCTGAGGACAGAATGAGGTAGGTGGGAGGAGATGGAAAGGCAGGTGAATCTCTTAGTTATTTTGTCTAATAAGACATTTGGTAAAGTCTATAAAATTATGTCATTTATTTCATTATTTTGGAATAAAATTACCCTTAAGTAGCATTCTTTTGAATCTGAGCTCTGATAATATCTTTTTGTAAGAAAAATATATTTTATTGATTTTTACAGAGAGGAAGGGAAAAGGATAGAGAGTTAGAAACATCAGTGAGAGAGAAACATCGATCAGCTGCCTCCTGCACAACCGCTACTGGGTATCGAGCCTGCAACCAGGGTACATACCCTTGACCACAATCGAACCCGGGACCCTTCAGTCCGCGGGCCAACACTCTATCCACTGAACCAAACCAGCTAGGGCACTGATAATATCTTAATGAAAGTAGCAGTTTTCTGCCTGGAAAAATATTCCTAATAGCAGAATTGGGGAATACCATGGGACGATAAGGGTATTAGACCATATAGGAAACACTGATCTTGTGTGTTGGTTGGTGGCTCATAAAGAACCAAAAGTACTTCCAAGATTAGAGTTTTTCCCCCAGTTTCCTGGGAAGACTGAGGCCCAAGACAGCTGATGGTTAGACCCAGGAGGACATGTGGGGGCCCAGACAAGCTATGCAGAACTTCTCACATCCCAGGAACAGTTTAAACTGCTTGATGGCCTCGTATAGTTGTCAATGACAGAAACATTCTATTATCAACTCATTTTGGGGTGCTTCTTAAATGTGCTGTGATTTCCGAAGCTTTTTCATTTCTTGTATTTGTTCATTAGAATTCTTTTGTCCTTTAAAATATTGAGAATTCAGCAAAATGTTTAGTTGTTGTTCTAAGATATTTTATTACGCTCCCACAAAAGTTCTCACTTGGTCTTTGACCTACACAGTTGCTCTTGAACAACATAGGCTTGAATTGTGTGAGTCCACTGATATGTAACTTTTTTTCAATAAATCCTCTAAACGTATTTTCTCTTTTTTATGATTTTGTTAATAACATTTTCTTTTCTCTAGCTTACTTTATTATTAGAATACAGTATCTAATACATATAACATAAAAGATATGTGTTAATCAGCTGTTTGTGTTACCAGTAAGACTTCTGGTCAACAATATTATTAGAAGTTATATGTGCTGAGAGAGTCAAAAGTTACATGCAAATTTTCACCTGGGGTTGGCACCCCTAACCTCCCACTGTTCTGGGTCGACTGCATCTATTCTTTCTTGGTTACTTTGAAGAATATGTAGTTTGGAAATCAGCATGTGTTTCTCTGTGTCTGCTATAGAGAAGGCGCTTTACATCCATCATTGGGAAGCCTCATAAAGACTAAGTAAGCTCATATTATTATAACTCTGTTTTTCCCCAGTGGATGACACAAAAGTTTCAAGAAATATGTAAGTTGCCCCCCGTTACTCAGCTATGGCAGAAAAAAAATAGTGATACCTGACATTTATTGGACTCTATATTGTTAGGCACCATTCTAGGCACCTTATGATCTCATTTAATCCTCCCAACAACCCCAGGTAGATTCTTATATCATCTCCATTTTACAGATGTAGAAACAGAGAGGTCAACTTGCTTACGATGACAAAAATGTTGCCCAGACAGGACAGGACTGCAGGCAGCTCAGCTCCAGAAGTGGACCTCACACACCTCACTCCTTGGACTTCCCTACCAAGCCTCCTGATTTGACCACTCTCTTGGATCAGAGACACCACAACTGTGATTCTGATCGCTAGGCCACACTGGGCCAGTTACTGTACTGACCTGAGCCTCTGCCAGGTGCTCTTGGGGCTGACACCACCTCTCTGCAGGGGCAGTGGAGCACTAAAGGACACACCAGGCAGGTGAGGCCCCACATGGAGCTGGCCTCAGTGGGAAAGTGAAGAGAGGAAGTGCATTACTGAGAGGAATGCCATTCCACCCTTCCCTTCCCTCTCTGATATTGTCAGACACCATTGACATAGGACCTTGAATACCTGTCCTATGGATGCCGTGATGATTTTCCCTAAGCTGTTCTTGGTCTACCATCGCTTCCTTCTCACCTCCTCAGGAGGAACGGGAAGCAGGAAGCGAGGCCTGGGTGAAGAGATGACATGTGAACGTGTAAGAGGGAGTGTGGCGGGAGGGATTGGAGGGTTCAGAGATGTAGGGGCCCACAGGCCTACAGGCCTTGGACAGGAAACCTGCATTCTAATGACACCCCTCAGCTGGGAGCCCAATGGCTGGATTGCTAAAATGAGCCCGTAGCTTTCCCATGAACTCTGGCAGGGACCCCATCTTCTTTCATGGCCTCCTTTCCTGCTCCTTTGGGCTCCATTGCAACTCGAGACCCTGCTCAGATCAGATGCCTTTGGCAGAAACCAGACCAGGGCTTTAGTGGTCAGAGTGGGGACACCAGTGCTAGACTTGGGGCAGCCTTCCTGGATAAAGCAGAGACTTTTTTTCCAGTGATTGGCATTGTTTTAATTAATATACTAATTCTATCTAATAAAAGAGAAACATGGTAATTAGCCGTACCTCTGCTACCCTTCCCATTGGCTAATCAGGGAGATATGCAAATTAACTGCCAGCCAAGATGGTGGCTGGCAGCCAGGCAGCTTAAAGCTAACAGGAGGCTTCCTTGCTTCAGTGACGGAGGAAGCCAAGCTTCCCCGCCTGCACTGCCGGCCTCTGAGCTTGCAGTTTGAAACATTGTAACAATTATAGAAGCTAAACAAAACCCCAGAAACCTGTTTTCAGTCAGCCGGGATCTCAGAGCTGGAGTCGCAACAAAGTTTCGAATACAGAAGGTAAACAAAGGCCAGAAACCTGCTTTCAGCAGCCGAGCCTCAGAGAGAAAGCCGGCTCTCAGTTCCAGTGACAGGCATAGAAGGTAAATAAATGCCAGAAAAAAAAAAAAAGGAGAGGTTTGGAGCTTCAGTCGCCCCCCAGCCTGAAAACAGCCCTTAGCCCCTCACCCAGACTGGCCAGGCACCCCAGTGGGGACCCCCCCCCTGAAGCAACAAGATGGCGGCTAATTTGCATACTGAAGGCAGGCGGCAGCAGGCAAGGCTGTCTGCGGTCTGGGACCCGGATCTGTGACCCTGCCAGGCGGGGGGCAGTGCTTGAGGCTGTCCGAGGGCTGGGACCTGGATCCATGTCCTTGTGAGTGGGGCGGCAGTGCTTGAGGCTGTCTGCGGTCGCAGGACCTGGATCTGTGACCCTGCTGGGCGGGGGGCACCGTGGGAGGCTGTTTGCAGTCCGGGACCCGGATCTGTGACCCTGCCGGGTGGGGGTCAGTGCTTGAGGCTGTCCACAGGACCAAGACACGGATCTGTGACCCTGCC